CACTGAGGTCCAGGTGCTGGGGAGCTACGACTCCCAGCAAGCCACAAGCTTCTCTTCTAGCTGCAGGCTGTCAAACTTCATATAAAACCAAAATGAGAGGATAACCATCAACACTTCATCTCAAACAATTCACATCATCGGAAGATACAACCGGCCACACATGGAGCAATATATCATCAGATACAACAGACATTGGATCGGAGCCAACCCCATCACACCCCATCCCTGCAGAGGCTGATCCCTTCCTACTCAATGATACCCCCAGGATGTCTATACACACAGAGTGCGGATATTATCTATATCAGTACACAACCTCCAACGACTAAACATCTTCCAGCAGAATCGGGATATCGATCAGAGAGAGAACATTTGTTACAATGTACAGAAATTCTCCGGTCAGCTGATCTTTCTCCCGTTCCTAATGAATGGAATTTCCAAGGAAAAAAAGTTTTTCTATCTAATAAAGTTCCCAAATCTTAGTGCCAAAGACCTGCAAGACTTCTGTTCTTCCAAGACCGGGTTGCAGCCCCCCAGCGGGGATACCACTCTAATATCACATTGGTCTAAGACCAACACGTAGCCCAGATCAGGTCACCACTCTAGTATAATGTTGGTTTTAGACCCTCACAGGTTCTCCGGTGAGGGCACCCATCTAGTATTATCTTGGTCTAAGACCAACATGTAGCCCCCCCAGCGAGGATACCACTCTAGTATTTGTTGGTCTTAGCCCTCGTTCACACCTGAACGTTTTGTAGCGCGTTCTACGCTCGACGAACGCTCTACAAAACGCTCAAACATCTAAATTCCATTGTATTCAATGGGTCTGGTTCACACCTCGGCGTATTTCAGCCCGTCCCTAACGCGCTACAAAACGGCCCACGCCTGAAAAGGTACAGGTACTACTTTGGGCCGTTTTTTTTGTTGCGCATTTCCATTGGGATACAGCCAAGTAGCTCTCGGAAACGCGCGTTTGTCGCGCGATTTTTTTACCGTGAATCGCGGTTAAAAAAAACGCGCGACAGACGCGCATATGCAATACGCCTAGGTGTGAATCAGGGCTTATACCAGCACACAGAACCCCGATATGAGTACTACTCCAGTATTTTCTTGGTCCAAGACCAGGACATAGACTTCCGGTGAGGGTACCACTCTAGTATTATCTTGGTCTCAGCCCAGCATGTGGCCCCTGGTAAGAGTACCACTCTAGTATTATCTTGGTCTCATCAGAGCAGCATGTGGCCCCTGGTTGGAGCACCACTCTAGTATTATCTTGGTCTCAGACCAGCATGTAGCCCCCTTACAAGAGTACTACGCTCGGGAAGAAGCTCTGCTCACTTCTTGGACTCCTTAGAACAAGTTTCTTGTTATCTTTAGCACTGGCACACGGCTTACCTAGAAGGGGACAGATGAGCGCAGAGACCATCCAGAGAAGAGTCTGAACCCACATCTTCTGCTTCCTCTATAATCCAGGGCAGATCCTGAGCAATCCCACCAGATAAAGTGCAATAAGGATAAGAGTTCCAATAGGATCCTAGTCACTTCCCTGTCCAGACATCTGCTTCCCCATCCATGCGGGATCGCCAGCCTGACCTCAGCTCAGCTGCGGAGGGGACTTCTGAGATAATCCGCTCCCCGGATGCCCCCGACCCTCCTGCCACATAGAGGCCAGTGAGCTTGCAATTAGATGGCTCCTCTCAGTTGCTGCATTCAGGCACATGAGAGCCACAGTGATGACAATGATACTCCAGGCTCCAGCCACAGATACATTGCATCCTCTTCTATTCCAGGTTCAGGGCTGAGTGTGCACAGAGAGCAAGCCCCTCACTCATTGTGTCAGGCACAGCCCCTCCCTCACCGCCCTTAAAGGAGCAGGCACCAGCATTTCCCTATTCATTGCTCTCTTCCTTCACAATTACTGATCAGCAGAATGAATGAGGAAGCCAGGCTGCAGGCAATACGATACAAGATGACTCCTGCTTCCCGATCGAAGGTTTTACAATTGACAAAATATCAGAATTGTAAATCTAAAGCAGCAAATCGGTAACATGTAGATTTAGGTTCATTCCCCCAAAAGCTTTTATCCATCTTTTTTATATTTTGACACAAGCGGCCGTACATTTGTTGTGGAGAAATCAACGTTGATGGTACTTGGAGAATTCTTTTTAAAAACAAATACATTAAACTAAGAGCAAAACAATGATAACAGTAACAAGGATATTTCTGGCACTTCTTTAGGTTTGACAAAATCAAAAAAAAAAAGAAAGATAAAGCAAATAAAAAAGCACATTATAAAATAGAAATAATATAAAATAAAAAACAGGCATACCAAATACATGATTAAACTAATGTAGCAAGTGGTGGAGAGAGAGAGAGAGATAGTGAGAGAGAGTGAGACACAGAGTAGGAGACAGAAATAGAGGGGAGACAGACAGAAAAAGAGAGGCGCACATGTTATTCTTCAGATATACACACAGCACTCTCTTGCTCCATGCTTCTTCTGCTCTATGAGGAATGGGTCTCATCGCATTGTAGAGCTCAGGATGAACTGCAATAGTAACAGCGCCATCTACAGGCCACTTCAGCTCTGCACAGAAAGCCTCAGATCAGACGCAGGATTCGCAGCCACATGTTTGTGTGAACATTAATGTGCTGTGTATGTGCTTTCCTGGTCAATGTCAGTGGCACCCCAATATGCACACACAGGCAAAACAAATACTCTTGTGCTCGGTGCATGTCATAAAAAAGACATAGTGTATGTTGTATTGAGGTGCATGAGAAAACAGGAGGCTTGGCCTGTCAATGTGTGTCCATGGGCCAAAACAAGTAGCCGCCCCCTTTGGTGCACTGTTGGGGTGTTGTGTTTGTTTGAGCATTGAAAAATTAGAGGATTATTTGCCAAAAATAAAGGGATTATTCCTCATTTTATGACAGTCAGCAGAGCCGTGCAAATCATTATTTTCCTGCCTATCAGCCAGATGTACATGCAGAACCTGTATGATTAGACTGTCTCATTGGGCACCCCATAGAAGCCATGATTTCCTTACACTGCACTGATGTGCACTGCACTTAATGATAAAAATGCCTGGAACAGCTGCATGCAGTTTGGAATACATGGCTCTATAAAATATATATTTGCACTATACAACGGCATATCTGGATGTGCATCTGGCTGATGGGGTGTAAAGGAATGATTTGCATGGCTCCACCCACTATCCTAAAATGAGGAATACTCAGGGACGTCCCGAGGCCGGGTGACACCCCCGTGACGTCACCACGTTCGTGCATGTGATGTCATTGCACATGCAAGGCCATCTATGTGAGAGAGGAGGGGACATTCACCCAGTGGGATAAGGAATGCTGCCGGGTCGCCTCCTCTCTCTCCTGCAATTGTCAGGCTCGCAGTCCATGATCAAGTGCCCGACTTTTCGGAAGGGGTGGCACCAAAATGACTGTCAAGTCATTTTGGTGTCACCCATCCAATGGTGTCACCCGGATGCAGGCCGCACCCACCTTGTGACGCCACTGGGAATACTCCGCTTATTTTTGGGATCTGAGATGGAATACGACACATGGATATGTTCTGTTCTCAGAACGCTGCCCTGCTTGGATTCGGTTGGAGGACTTTTTTACTCCTTTACTCCCTTCTCACCATCACCTGTATGGTTATACAAATGCAATTCAAGTAGATGTCCCATTTCTTGCTATGTTGTCATCTGGCCAATCGGATCTCCCCCTGGACCAGTAGCCAGACAAATCCTCATTTTTACAGGTAAACTATAGGGGCCCAATTCACACCTCCGTTCTTTGTTTAGCACGCACGGTGCAACGACATGGCTCCACCCACTATCCTAAAATGAGGAATACTCAGGGACGTCCCGAGGCCGGGTGACACCCCCGTGACGTCACCACGTTCGTGCATGTGATGTCATTGCACATGCAAGGCCATCTATGTGAGAGAGGAGGGGACATTCACCCAGTGGGATAAGGAATGCTGCCGGGTCGCCTCCTCTCTCTCCTGCAATTGTCAGGCTCGCAGTCCATGATCAAGTGCCCGACTTTTCGGAAGGGGTGGCACCAAAATGACTGTCAAGTCATTTTGGTGTCACCCATCCAATGGTGTCACCCGGATGCAGGCCGCACCCACCTTGTGACGCCACTGGGAATACTCCGCTTATTTTTGGGATCTGAGATGGAATACGACACATGGATATGTTCTGTTCTCAGAACGCTGCCCTGCTTGGATTCGGTTGGAGGACTTTTTTACTCCTTTACTCCCTTCTCACCATCACCTGTATGGTTATACAAATGCAATTCAAGTAGATGTCCCATTTCTTGCTATGTTGTCATCTGGCCAATCGGATCTCCCCCTGGACCAGTAGCCAGACAAATCCTCATTTTTACAGGTAAACTATAGGGGCCCAATTCACACCTCCGTTCTTTGTTTAGCACGCACGGTGCAACGCATACACAAAGGTGTGAAAGAGCTGTGAGGTTTTTATTCAGCTATCTGACAGCTGAAGGGGCCCCAGGGCCCGGCAGAGAGGAAGAATAAACATGTGTTCTTGGCCTTTGTCACCTAACAGTACTCGGTGTCACCGATATCATTCTCCATAAATGTTTAATAACAAAATCACCTCCTCAAAATATTGTAACAAATGTATCCCAGTGGATGTGACACTGGACACCCGTCCTGTCTTCTAGTCTATGGCTAGCTACATCTTTATGTATTTGGTTTTGGGTAGGGAAGGGTTAATTTTTCAGAATGCACTTTAATAGAACCTTGTCCAGCTCACATCCTCTTCGAGGGACTTTCCAAATATTCGCAGAGGAATGAGATCATCCGACAGGACCGCGTGGAGTCGTGTCCAGATTCCTGGCCAGCCTTGTATTAGGGTCATGAGATCAGCGCTGACCGCACTGCGCTCCCGATACATACAATGCCACAAAAGTATGTTATTGACTTCTGTGCGAGGGGAGAGGAATTTGGGAAATGCTGTTACTGCCTTAAAAGACAGTATTTGGGTTTTCTGGGTGAGAATGCAGCTTATCCATTCACTAGAGACCGGTGACATCACTGAGAATGCAGCTTATCCATTCACTAGAGACCGGTGACATCACTGAGAATGCAGCTTATCCATTCACTAGAGACCGGTGACATCACTGAGAATGCAGCCTATCCATTCACTAGAGACCGGTGACATCACTGAGAATGCAGCCTATCCAATCACTAGAGACCGGTGACATCACTGAGAATGCAGCCTATCCATTCACTAGAGAGCGGTGACATCACTGAGAATGCAGCCTATCCATTCACTAGAGAGCGGTGACATCACTGAGAATGCAGCCTATCCCTTCACTAGAGACCGGTGACATCACTGAGAATGCAGCCTATCCAATCACTAGAGACCGGTGACATCACTGAGAATGCAGCCTATCCATTCACTAGAGAGCGGTGACATCACTGAGAATGCAGCCTATCCATTCACTAGAGAGCGGTGACATCACTGAGAATGCAGCCTATCCATTCACTAGAGAATTTTCATTGTCGACTCCTTCTATAAAAGTTGTTGGGGAAATTGACTTTTGTTGAATGGAGGGCCACTCATAGGGCCACTGATGGGGCCACACACTCCTCGAATTAGGCAGCAGGACAACAGTCATGTTAATAGTAAACTTTCAGGAGGTAACAATGGCCAGCGACTGTTTAGTATGTAAACGTGGCTCAGTCATTGTGTGTATTGGGCTTGCTCTGTTAGTGTTTGATGCTCAGCGGGGGGCTCTGTACATTTTATTAGCTCCGAACTTTACACTCAACTTCATTTTCCTTTCAGCGTTTGCACTTTAAATACTACACAGAAAGGAAACAAGCCTAAAGCAAGCTTTGCTCAGACCGGCCTCCTCCTCCTCCCGACTCATCTTCTGGTTTGGTTCGCAAATATATTTAGACTTGAAACTAAACAAATATACATTTTACCCTTCAACAAAAGGAAGTCTATGGGGCAGAGACTGCAGCGGAAAGAATGAGACTCTGTGGTGGACAAGGACAGTGACTGAGAGAGATACAAGACGCCTCATCAACATTCACCTATCACTGAAGCAGACTGAACCCCAATAGTGGAATCCCCCCCTTTCTTGTTGTTGTGGATCATAGAACCTAAATCAGCTTTTATTGCTGTCTCTGTCCCATGGAGGAAATCCCCCCCTCCCCCCCCATTACTTCCTGTGGGATCACCAGCACAGGAAATGAAGATGAATCTGCCCAATGGTGTCACACCTCTAAAATATGGGCAGTTATCCAGCTACAGACACATTTAAACCCCGGGACATGGTAGACGGGTAGAACCCCAAAACCCATCATTCTTCAGCAGTGATCCCCAACTGTGGCTCAGGATCCAGGTGTAGCTCGCAGTCAGGGCTAGATTTACTCTCTCTGCCCCCCCCCCATTGGAGAATCACAACCAGACGGCGGGGACGGCAGGGTTGTTTTGTTTTTTCTTTATTGATGTTTTAATGATTTTTTTTTTATACATTGTTTTACTTTTTTTAGATTTTTTTTTTTTTTTTAAAAAAAATTATCTTATTAGTTTTTATTATTTTATCTCATTTAAAAAAAAAATAATAATTTTTTAGCACTTTTTTATTTTAAATTATTTCCTAATATTTTTTGCTTTCTTTTTTCATTTTTCATTTTTATTTTTTTACACTTAACTTCATTGCTATCACACAGGAGATAACAAGCCCCCTGTGTGATAGCATTTGGAGGTGACAGCTCTCCTGTATCAGTGTTTACACAGAGCAGAGCAGGGAACGGAGCGTTCTCCGCTCTGCCCCCCCCCCGCTCTCCATCCTGAAGTGATTGCCATGACAAGGGACCTCGGCGACA